ACGTAATGGCAGAAGCATTTCTACGTCTACTCATAGTTGGTATTCTTGACCACCACTTAGAGACGAAACCGCCAAGGCGTTTGAGTCTGTCTAACGACCACTATATTTTTTAACCGATGGGTCTACAAGGGTATCTTAAGATTCTGCCCCGAAACAAGCATTCCTCGCTGGTCTCCTGCTTTCTTTAGCTTTTTTGGGCTTATAAAAAAGAGGCAAAAAGAGATTAAGAAATTCGCATTGTGTTGCAGTGCAGTTGTTGCTCCAGTAAATAAAGTAAAAATTCCATTAAAATTGAAAGGGCAGGGATTCGGATACAAACAGTCACGAAGCGAGCTTAGCTTCTATTTTTCTGGCCGTTGTTTGGACTTCGCCACCGGTCAGAATTGCAATTACAATGGGCCAAGGGTAACACAGAGTGGGATGTGGAGAGGGAGCCACGGGTACACGTAGAGCTGGCCAAGGGCCATTCATGCCGGATGAGAGCTCAACCAGCAGAAAAAAGTACAGAGAACGGACAATGCACCTACTGAAATATTTATAGTAATAGCAAAGAAGGCGAGCAGTTTTAAATGGAGCTGATTTCAAGGGAAATTAATGTGAAATTGCCAAAAGAACTGAAAGAGGGAAAGGAAACGTAATTAAGAACTGCAAAAAGGTCTCAGATTCAACAGTTCTGAGACGAATCTGGAATGGAAAATGTTTTATTTGGCACATTGGGATACTGAGTAATATCTCCTCGAAACAGCAAGCTGTAAACGAAGTTTTCTTAAACTTACGCGACGCTTTACGAGTAAATCAATCAGCCCCAGTCCTTGCAGCAGTTTCCTCTCAGATTGCACTTCAAGTTCAGGTTGAGCTGCTCGCAGATGAAATATTCCATTTATCATGTCCTGCATCCGACTTGAGCCAAATCTTATCCGGCAACTTCATTCCGCATAACTATCACTCATGACGTATAAGTAAATCATATGGCACTTTCCTGTTCATTACGCGAGCCAAATGGGCAAGCACCAGCATAAAAACGAGAAGCTCCAAAAGGACTGGCGCAAAAAATATGAAGGGAAATTTATTTTGCGGAACTAAATTGAAATAATTTTGGCAGCTGAAATGTGTACAAAAATATTTTAATACCATATACACACAAAGATGGAAGCAGATAGAGCCGAGAGTCCCAGACTTGCTCGCAAATAAAAACAGTTTTGCTTTTCCCAACTAGGAGTATTCCTCCAGACCATCTGCAGTGCTTCTGGCAAATATGTTGGCTGTTCCTTCTTCCGCCACGACTGCTGGCACTGGGCCAAGTCGTCGTAATTTCAGCTTTTTTGTCCATTGGCCAAAGGAAAATGCAGCTAAAGCGTCGGGAAGGCAAACAAACAAGCGGCAGACAAGAAGTACATATTAAATTTGTCATTTTAGCACACTGGCTGGCTCCGGCCGCGGGGGCGTGCCAGCCAAAGTTCAAGTCAATTGCAGTCATCGCAGATGCAGTTTAAAAGCGCATTTGCCCATGGAAATCGAATTAAATTTCCACTGCAAAGGAGAAGCAAAATGTTGAACGGTTCTGCCAGTGAAGGTGTCATGGGGCTATCAATCAAACATTTCACTTGCAGCTCGAAGGTGTGCAATGGAAAGCTTTGCTGAAGCTACTCCTACAAAGAACGAATAATTAATTCGTTCTTCTTTAAAACAAAAGACTTCTAAGCCGTTTCTCTTATTAAGTCCTAATCAGTGTTGGAGAACCAAGGGACAATATTCATGATATCATCATGTATCGCCTTTGCATCTCGCAATCTGTACATGAAAGTCAAATTATTCAATGGAACAACAAGCGCCCATTAACTTAAATATAAAACGGAGGCATATTTTCCGAGCTGTAATCAACAGTTGGACGGCTTTCGAAACAGTCAAGACATGTGTAAAACTCCCTTAGACTTTGGAACAATAAAAAAGGCATTGGCCCCTAATTAGATTTTGATATTTCATTATTATTCTATTGATGCTAAGTTGCTAAAGACTGAACATATACGAATAGCATTTAAGGTTTTATTGAACAAATAAAAGAATAAAAAAAATCATTTTGCGAGCCAATTAGCTTCATATGATGTTAAACATTTGGAATAGATAACCAGATTAGTTGTTGAAAATATACATAGTTATGCTCAGGGCAGGGGGCCGTCAGCTGTGTGAATACCAAAATATTTCCCACCAAACAATACTCTTGGCAACAACATTAATTTGAAGTGCACATATTTCTGTATAAGTATGTGAAATATTTAACAGACAAGGTGGGAAATGCTGCCGTCCTACAGTTGCCAACTTTTGGGCATATTTAAAATGATATCTGCAAGCTTTGTAATATTTCTGTATCACTAATGTATCTGTAACAAATTTCGAATGAACCTACAAATTCACTTTAGCTCCTAAGATTAAATTAGAGGAAAATCGAACATCCTACACGAAATCAGCATATCAGGCAACAGGAACCCATCGGTATCTTCCCACTCCTTTGCCTTAGACAATTGCAATCACGGACAGATTGTCCGGGCTGGTACCCGACCTACCGCAATGCAAACATTATCCGTTAGCATTCTGATTGCACTTACAAGCACGAGCAGGAGCATGTGTAAATGGTAGGTGAGGGTTCGGAGTTCGTGGTTCGGGGTTCGGGGTTCGCTGCCCTCGATCCGGTACTTGCCACATTTCAATTTCAATTTGCAGCCCTTGCCACAGCAACAACATTTTTTGGCTCTGGCTCAAAACTCAAATTAATATACATAACAACAATTGTGGCAACGGACAAATTTGTACAGTCATAATCGTTTTACTTGCCAGGTGGTTTGGTTGGGGGGGGGCCCCATCCAAGAGGATGGGATGTGGATGCCTCTGTCCGTTGGTTAAGTGCATTGCTTGTTGCGGCTTTTCCGCTATAGCCCTCTCGCTCTTCAAACCTCTTGCCATCTCTCTTCGCAACAGCTGGGAGCTTCTAGTGGTGCTGGCACACAGACAGTCTCGTAATGCCGTCAAAATCCGCAGGCAAATAGGATAAAGTAAAAGTTGAAATGCAGGTGAAAAGCAAATATACAAATAAACCAAACCGACATAGGACAGAACCAAATGAAAGAGAGAGAAGGAGCAGAGACAGAGAATCAGAATCGGAAACGGAAACAGAAACAGAGACAAGAGTGGGTGTGGATGTGGGTGGGGGTGGTTGGGTGGTGGAGGTGGTTGCTAGTAGAGCAGGAGATTTCAATTGTGGAAATTGCATATTTTAATTGAAATATTCATAGGTCTGTGGGAAACACTATGCGTCTGCATTAATTTGGAATATTTATATTTGGTTTGTAAATGTTGTTGATTTGTTTAATAATAAATGCAGGTGTCATTGCAACGAACACTCGTGCATGCAAAACATCCAGCAGAGCCCCACTCACACATTTTATAGCAAAATAGATTATTAAGCGGCTGCGAATTCTACTCCATCTACAAATCCGCAATGCACAGAGCAAACATTAAACGTTAAACATTCGTAAAAGATATAAATAAACCTCATCAATTGAATTTATAGACTGTCCCTTTATGTTTATCTTCCTTACGTACTAGTAGATTTAGATTTATGTATATGGTAAAATATTATTTTTGTGTGAGAGAAGGGGAAGAAAATAGAATATCGGGCGGAGTGTCACTGCTGTACTAACAACTACTTCTAATCAAATTACACGGATGACAGCTTCAATGGTATCAATTTGTTAGTTGCCTAAGCAATTAGGATGATTTATCATCCTTTTCAGTACGAAAATCAATGCAAAAGTATGATTTGTTCATCAGAAGAATGATTGGGTGAGTTGTGTGAGCGAGCGAACCAGGGGCTCAAGGTTTGGGCACAGAATCGGGCTCCTACGCGCTGCAGGAAGCCCAGTCAGTGCCCAGCCTCCAGCCTCCGTGGCTTGACTGTGCTGCGGTCCGCCATTGCCAAAGTCCTTCCCGTGCCCTGCTGTATTTCCTGCATGAGACGTTCGTAGATCATGGGTTGAGCAAATTTCTCCAGCAATTTTCTCTAGGCGGTGAAAACCCCTGTCTGGTTTCGGAATCTAAACAAGCTCTCATTGAAGTAAATACATATACGATAGTAATCGTTTATCACGCTGTTTCAGATACACCGATAGAAAAAATCCCTGAAATTTTAATATTTTCACTTAGATTTTAATATTTATGCCATTGATTTTCATCCAAGAGTGGTTGTATTAAAATTGAATATTTTTCACTTAAACTTTGATATTAAAATGAAAATATTTAAATTTAATACATTTTATATATTTAAATATGAAACATATTAAACTAAAAATTTAATATATTATATTAATTTTAAAGTGTTTTGTATTAAGATTAAATATGACCGTATTAAAAAAGCCATTTTAATACAATTATATTTGAATCAAAGTGAATTCTATTAAATTTGACTATGTTTGTATTTAAAAATCGCATTTTAAATTTAAATATGATTGTAGTGATTTTTACTATGCCTTTTTTCTATCAGTGTAGTTACCCAATTAAATCTACAAGCAATAAATACAATTTTTAAGCTTTTTAAGGGATATATATTCCATATATAATATAAATATATAATATAAATGAATATAAATTCTACACGCAGAGTCGACGGCTATGAATATGTCTAGGATGAATGGGATGGGATGACTTTTATGTAGTATTTAACATCAATTAGTTGAAAGCTTCTTCCTTATTTTATTATCTTGCCCCAAACAGCTAAAATTCATTGCCATAGCCCACATTGTCCGACTTGATGCATTTGGCGAGGTCTTGAAGCGGTAGCTACTACTCGTATATGTACATTTTACGTTTTCTGCTGGAAGCGGAGTAAATATTGTCGTCGGGCAAACGTCGGGTAGTTGATCAACTGATTCACTATCTTGACGGGTTGTCAACTGGCTCCACAAGCAGCTGCAATGAGATAAGACCCTGTGGTTACAGAAGCGACGGGCCTGATTGGGTTAGTCTCCAGCGAAATGTGCCACGCGGTGTACCAAATATTATTCGGGCTCTGGATGCTGCTCTGCTCCAGCTCCAGGGTCAGCTGCCTGCAAATGAGCAATTGCAACAAGACGGAGGTGACGATGATCCGGGACATGGAGGTCCTGACATCCCTGACTCTGAGCAACTGCAGCCTGCCGCACCTTGAGAATGCATTCTTCATGCGGTTCGGCCGCCTCCTGCACCTGGAGCTTCACCATAGTGGTCTGAGTAGCTTGGAGGACTTCTTCCTGCATGGTCTGCCCCGGCTGCAGACCCTCTCGCTCTCCCACAACAACCTGAGTAGGCTGAGATCGTGGTCAATCGAGCCCCTGGGGGCACTAACCGCCCTCGATCTCAGTCACAATAGTCTGTCCAGCCTGGCGGCCCACAGCTTCGTGCTCTATCCACAGCTGCAGGTGCTCAACTTGGCCTCCAATCAGATCGATCGGATTGCAGATGACACCTTCTATGGCCTCTCGCACCTAAAGCACCTCCAGCTCAATGGAAATCGACTGACGCTCATCGATGGCAGCCAATTTGATGGCCTGCATCGTCTCTCCAGTCTGACGCTGCAACATAATCTGATTGCAGGCGTGGATCCAGTGGCCTTTGAGAGCAATACACATCTCCGCAGTCTCCGCCTGGAGGGGAATTTATTGAGCAGTCTCCAATTCCTCACGCAGCGCGGTCTTGCGCGCTTGGCACATTTGAATCTGGCGAACAACTTGCTGCAGGAGCTGGAGCCGCAGGGATTTGGGAAGAACTTTGAGCTCCAAGACTTGGACCTGAGTCACAACAATTTGACTGAACTAACCAAGGAAAGTTTACTGGGACTGGATTCATTAGAGGTGAGTGCACATGGAAGAAGAATAAAATATAGAAACAATAACACGAAGATGCTGTACCGTTGCACGATGAATTGGCAACAATAAAATAACCCTGTGTTGCTTTTTACAAAGCAGCAGACACGCTGCTAGTGTTGGTCATTTCATTGCCATTTCATTTTCACTCCCCAGCGACTCAACATCAGCCACAACACTCTCTCCCACCTCGAGGATGGGAGTCTGGAGTCGCTTGTCAGTCTGCTGCAAATCGACGCCAGCTTCAATCAACTGACTTCCGTATCGGAAAGTTTGTTCCATGCCAACACCCAACTGGAGGAGATAGTTCTATCCCACAATCGAATCGCAGATATATCGCCCAAGCTGATGCAACATCAGACGCACTTGCAGCATCTAAAACTGGACGGAAATTCCCTCATCGAAGCCGCCTTCTTGCAAAGACTCCCTCCAGCCCTAAACCGCCTGTCCCTGGCTGTGGATCTCAGCTCGAATCGCCTCCACTCGGTCAACTTGAGCAGCCTGCTTCATTTTGGGCACATCAATCTGGCCGATAACCACTGGAGCTGTGCCTGGCTGGTGAAGAACTTGCTGCTCAGGGCTCCCAGCTCCCTTAACTTTGCTCGGAACTGGAGCCTGTTGAGCGATTGGAACGAGGACTTGACCAAGGTGCAGGGCATAGACTGTATCGAGGGCGGCCGTAACCGTTCGATTGTGCTCCTGAGTGTCGGCGAGGCCATCCACAGCAAAGTTCAGTGTGCGGTAAGTCCAATCGAGACCCCCCCATCAGTAGACCAAAAAACAAAAACAAAATGTTACTTTGGGTGCACAGAAATCACAGAAGTCTGACGAGCTGAATCCAGCGCCTCCGCCACTGACCTGGCCCAAGATTCCCACAGATCGCTTTGACTCTCGATCGGTGATCATCTGGATGCTGGTGGCCATAGCCATCGCCTTTGCCTGTCTGCGTTGGCTGCGGCGCTTCGTGGATCGCAAGGAGCAGAGCAAACGGAAACTGAAGGCCATCAATGAAGTGGTTGGTTGACACATCGGATCTCTGTTCTCCACCCTGTCTCATCGCTTCCATATTTTTCAGTACATCAGCAAAATGGAATCGCAGCCCATCAGACATGAGCGCGAGAGATCATAGTCCACAGCCTTGAGCTGAGCCTCGGACCGCCGAGCAACAAATTCAACCAAACATATCCAATATATATGTATATTCGTATGTATGTATGTATAATATAATTATCAATGTCAATCAAAGTTGATTAAAACCTAAACCTAAGCTAAGAAATCGTCGCCAAAGAGATCTTTCAGTTGTACAAACGCTCAATAATCTGTGCGTACTTCGCGTGGACTATATTCCGCCGGATCTTGAGTGTGGGTCCCAGCTCGCCGGTGGCCAGCGAGAACTCGTGGGGGATGAGGGCGAACTTCTGCACCCGTTGGGCATTCGAAATGGCATTCTTGTTGGCCCGCTTGATGCCCGCCTCGATGGCCTCCAGGAGCTTGGGATCCGCCGATATCTTCAGGGCCGCCGATATGGCAGCCGTGTCGCTGGGCAGTTGCAGGTCGGCCGGAATGCTCAGCAGCTGGGAGAGTCGGGTCTGATTGAGGTCCAGTTCATGCAGCCACTCGATGGTCTCCTCCCGCAGGCCGTCCAGCGGGATGCCCGTCGTGGGATCGGACTTCGTTTTCAGGGACAGCAGAACTGTGAGATACTTGCGATGGTCTCCGACCAGCAGGGCGTTGCTTACGCAGGGCAGCTCCTTCTTGATCAGCTCCTCGATGTGAACGGGCGGAATGTTCTCGCCGCCAGCCGTGATGATGATCTCCTTGAGTCGGCCGGAGATTACCACATTGCCGTGCGGATCGAAGTAGCCCAGATCCCCACTGAGCAGCCACCCGTCCGCCCTGACGGTCTCCTCGGTCTTCTCCTGCTGGCCCAGGTAGCCCATGAAGTTGCTGCGCCCCCGCAGCACGATCTCGCCCCTCCCACTGGCATCGGGCTCTTGGACCTTCACCTCCACACCGGCAATCGGCTGGCCTGAGCTGAAAAGATTCGAGATCTCAGTGTTCAGGGTGATGGCCCCGCCACTCTCTGACATGCCGTAGCACTCGCCCAGCGCTATGTCCAGGCCCAGGAAGAAGTTCTTCATCTCATCGGAGGTGGGGGCTCCGCCGGTCAAAAAGCTTCGGCAGTTATCCAGGCCCATCATCTGACGGATGGGTCGGATCATGCGGGAGGCCAACCAGTATTTGGAGGTGGCGTAGATCGAAGGCTTCTCCCTGCAAAATGGCGAACGTTAGCATTCCCGGTCCACTTCGAATGGAAGTGCCCACACTCACCCTGCCATCACAGCCAGTCGGTATTCAGCCACCGCGGCACGGGCCTTGGACAGCAGAAGCCGCGAGTAGGGCTTGGCCTTGGCCTCCGCGGCCACCAGACGCTCCTGGAACTTCTCGAAGACCCGCGGCACTCCGAACATCCGCGTCGGCTGGGCCTTCTGAAAGGTGCGCACCAGAGTTCCCTTGAGGGCGTCCTTGTCGGCAAAGGTCACACAACCGCCATGCTCGAGGGCCAGGAAGACATCGAATATCTGAGCGGCGATGTGACTGAGGGGCAGAAAGCTGACCATGCTCTCTGCTCCTTCCTGGACGTCCTTCATGCTGGCAGAGGCGGACTTGGCGTTGAACACAATGCTGTCGTGGGTGAGCATCACAGCCTTGGGCAGGCCCACAGTGCCGGAGGTGAAGATCAGCATGGCGCACTCGTTGGCATACACCCGGCTCTCCCTTTCGAGAAGCTCCTGCTTCAGAGCATTCGGGTAAGTCTTCTCCTCCAGCTGCTGCCAGCTGTGGTAGCCCTCCTCCTGGTCCACGAAGGCTTCGAAGGGTCCGTGCAGCTGAATGACTGCCTTCAGGCGCGGCAGCTTGTCCCTGATGCCCCTCAGCTTGGCCATCTGCTGAGCATCGTCCACCACACAGGCCGTGGCCTCGCTGGTGGCCAGCACGTGACGCACTGCCTCCGCCGAATTGCTGGGATAGATGCCAGCCACAACGGCACCAGCACGTAGGGCTGCCAGCTCGGCAAAGAACCACTCGGGACAATTGAAGGCCAAGACGCCCAGCGAGCTGCGTTCCTCCAGTCCAACATTAAGCAGCATCAGCGCCGCCTGCTCCACTCTGCGCTGGTAATCGGCATAGGTCAAGGTGGTCCAGCCATTTACCCCCCTTCCGGGCGTCTCCCAGACAAGGGCTGGGTGATCCGCAAACTGCTGGCACACGTCCTGGAAGCGCCGCGGTATGGTCTGCGGCGGCAGCACGGACACGGCTCCCGTCGCACCCACATCCAGGCGCAGCTTGACAGCCTCATGGAGCGAGGTGCTGGTGTAGCTGCTGGCAGGCTTGAGGTTGCTCCGCTCCAAGTCTATGTCTATGTCGTTCATCCTGCAGGCGCTCTCGTCAAATAAACTCTGGGCTCTTACAGCGGCCGCTATTTAAAGCATCTGTCGGTCCATGACGCTGTTGATAAGACCGCCCCGAATCGGCTCGGATCGCTCCGCAGGCCATGACGTTGCTGTTGCGAGCATCGGCATGGGCGATAAATAGGTTGCAGGTTCCAGTAATCTCTCTAGAAGCCGACGATTAGTAAAGAGCTCGGTCTTTGATCCGGTACGAGTATGTTCTTGGATCCCATTGACTGACCCCCAGACACATGTTTGGATCGTTTCGGTCTGGGAGATAATGCTAAGATCGAGTATTGCCATGTGTGTGTGTATGTATGTGTGTGTGTGTATGTCTATGTGTTTGAGACTTCGTATGTGGCATCAGACCCAAATTCTGTTGCAGATTATAAAGTGTCATAGGTCGTCGTGTTTTCAGTTGTATTTTTTTATGTTAGGCGGATTTAAATCGTTTAATGAGCCAGACTAAACAAAAAAAACATAATTAAAAAAGGAATTAGGAATTTTTTTCATTGATTAGAAGATTCATTAAAGAATTTCAATCTGAATTCAATTCAACGCCATTGTTGAGCTACTGAACTTTTTTCCTAAGTTAAGGTATATTTAAGTATATTTTAATCTAATCGATATTTCCAGGAATGAAAAACATATCCACAATCATTATCTTTATACTTGAAGAACCACTAATCATATATTGACATTTTTATTATTATTCCACGTATGTATGTACATATTTTTTTGAAAATACTGCCATTTCCCTTTCAATTATACATGTGTATTTGTATTCATATATACATACATATGTACACCCAAGATGATCTTTCAAATTTTTCGAGAAATCTTATCTTTTAGAAGCAATAGTACACCATATAAAATAATTGCCTTGATCTGGGGTTGTGGGATTGTCATCTATAAAAATGATTGTTATCTCGCAAATGTTTATTACGAACTTGATCCAACCACAAAAAAATGGCAGGAGAGGTTAATTAATAAATAAATTAATTATAATGAAATCAAGTTTTTTATTCCATCCCAACGCATAGATCCATTATCACCCAACCATTAAGCTTAGCAGTCTTTATCTACATATGTTCATATTTATGCATGTGTATATAAATGACAGAATGGATCGAATTACATCTTAAATATAAATAGATACATCAGTTGTTGTACTACATGAACTAATTACTATACCGCACCTCTCTACAATATTAATTTTCCTAGACAACGATTACCATGATAGCTCATTTAATACACTTCATGCTGATTGGCGATTGGCAGACTGGCATGTATATTTTTTAAATCAATCACAGTGTCAATAGTATATGAATGTACATATGCTCGTAATAGGGACAGACCTATGGCTCGGTCTTAAAATACCCATCATTAATACTCAATCCGAAACTGACCTTCGACAAGCAGCTGAGATCGAATCGATCGCATGGCAATGGACATGCCCGCTCATATACAGATGAAACCCAATGCAACCCAGATACCCTCCCCTCCCAGGTACGGCATTTCGGGACATGTGTGTTGTTCGTCGGTCATAAAACATGGTACATGAGGGTTTTACCCCCCACCTTAGCCGAGCCGGGCTTCCCTCGGAGTCGGGCGCATTAGACGCGGGGGCCAGAGCACGCACACATGGACACGCACTTCACCGCATAAAGAGAATTGGAAATAGGCGGAGCAGTGAGAGAGAGGACAGAGAAAAATAAACTTTCACACAGGCCAACAACAAATCGCAGTCGCAGCAGCGGTAGCAGTCGCAGTCGCCGTCAGCGTCTCAGCTGCTGCCGGCAGTACGTTTGTTCGTTTTCGTGCTGCTGGGCCTTGCTGTGCGCCTGTTTCTCCGACAGTCATTTTTTGTACAAATTTATAATTTATTGTTTAATTTATTTTATTGCAAAATGTCAAAAGCGCTCCTGCCTCTTGCCACATTGCTTGCGGTGTGTGTGTGTGTGAGTGCAGCAGTGCGAACTGCGTTTGTCTGTTGCTTTCGTGTGGACTTGTGGGGCGCAGTGGGGCCTTCAGATAAGCAATAAAACGATATATTATTAACCCAATTGTAATTGTTGCAATTTGTATTTGCAGCTTATCTTTTGTTATGCGCGCAACAACAACATTATTATGAAATTATTTACCAACGAACAGCAGCTCATGAATCGGTAACAAGTGTAAACCCCCCTGTCTATGGGTCGTACGGCGTCCGGGCGTCCGGTGCCGAGTGCATCAAAACTACAACACAAATAGTTGTTATATTGAGCTTTCTTTTTTTTTCTCACTTCCTCAACTATACATATGTAGGTAGCTACACATAGTACATACATATGCACATATGTACGTACATAAACTTTAAGTGTGTCGTATGTGTTTGACGGGCGAGTGTGAGTGGGACATGTGTAACGGTACATGAGAATTATATCGGGTAGCGTAAAGAAAATATAAAAATTCGAAATACATGTGAAATTCATAGGCATGTGTAAAAGAATAAGCTCACCTTAAATGCGAACTAGCTACATATGTACATATAAAGCTAACAATAAATTGGGCATTTAACATGCATCGGAGGTAAGATTAGGGTGGTCCCTAAAAGATACATACATTTATTGCTTACATATAAATAGAACGTACATACATACATATGTATGTAAATATATATGAAGGACAGGACGTGATACTGGTCTGGTGTTTTTTTTTTGTTTTGTTGCGTTTTTTCATAGCGTATGGCAATAAGGGTTCACCCTAAAGACCAGCATTGTTTGTGGTTGCTTGATCTGGCACTCAATGAATGGCCAGGCCACTAAGCAGACACGTCATGCAATTACAGTGGACGACTGCTCCAAGTGGTCCCACATTGGGAGTGGAAGACAATTTATCCTATCATTAGGACTAAATACAGTGCCAAATCGTTCCAAAATTATGCTAAACAAAATAAATGCAAACCTTTACTCTCCATGGTAGTTGTACATCGGGTCTTTATAGATATTATATTCATAATGTTCTATGCTTGGTAAACAGTCAAATGAGTATCTAGAGTCTAGACTTTGGTCTTCCACTGTACATGCTCATACACTGTATCACTCACTCGCACGCAACACATGATAAACCAAAGTGACGCGCTATACAAGAGTCTGATGCGTACTCAAAGCGATTTGCCATATGTTGGGCTGTGGTCATAACAATGATAATATGCATACCCACACAGCGGCCACACCACACAGGGTACATCGGGTTTAGCATGTGTAACAATATGTTTTGTACATATTTACACGCACCCCAACGTATGTGTGTATGCATGACCTAATGTGTGTTCTCACTGATTGTTAGCTCCGGAGGTGGGGGGAGAGAGAGCAACAAAAGAGCATGAGCATGTGCATGTCGTCGGTGACTTTTGTAGATTTGTTTGTGTACATATAGATATAGCGAAATAACCCGGCGCACAGCATTGATTAGCAGGCGTCAGCACAGAGCCAAAGCAAAAAGTTCATTCGAACAAGTGAGCCAGACAACCAGGCAGCGGCAGAAGCAGAGCCAGTGGCAGAGGCACGGGCAGTGGCAGTGGCAGAGCCAGCAAACAAGTACACACAACAATAAGGAAACATACACACACGACACACAAAAACGATACAAAACCCACACACGCACACACACTCTCGCTCACAGAAAACTACTAAAAGAGCCAGCAGAGCTCTGTAGAGGCGGGGCACGAAGAAGAAGCAGTGTTCCAATCGAAAGGGGGATATGTGGGGTGGCGGGGACAGATAAACAACATTTTATATTCATGTACCAACAACAGCGCCAATAGCACAGACAGAGACGGACATAAAAAGCGAAACGAAAATCAAATAACACGTGTAGGTACATATCGACAAACAACCGACATACAAGCGTACTTACATACAAGTACATATGTATGTACATATGTATGTATGTTCATGCGAAACACTTGCAGCAACTCATTCAAACTCATTTCTACACACTCACAAAGCATACTCGTGAGTGCATACGTACTCAAAGATGTATGTAAATACATTTGTACATTGTACATCAACAACTAGCATGGTCGAAGCAGAATGAATGTCAGTGCCGCATAAATAGAAATTACTCGAACAATAACAACCGGTATTTAAAGCTGTTTAACCCACACATTATCACAACGGTCAGAGAGGGGAGCTTACGGAAATTCAGTTGTGCAGGTGACAAAATATTCAGAAGAGTTATTCTGTACACAGAACATGCTTCAGATGGAACTTCAGTTTTGTGTCCATATAAACATAGTCAGAGAATTTTCAACCCGTGACAAGTAAAAGCAAAAGCAAAAGCCAATAATCAGTTTTATTTCACTGTGCCCAACCAAAACACTCTTGACACATTCGTCAGGTGCACACTATATGCTGGTTAGCGTCACAGGACGGAGAGAGAGAGAGAGAAAAATACAATTCAAATTGTCCTACTTTGTTTCAATTCTGACGTCGGCACAGCATCTGTGAAACTGATCTATTGAATAACTTAATCGGTTCGTTGGCCCCGACTTTTGCATCTGAGAAGCACTCAGAATTGTCATCATTACATTACTGTCACTGTCATCGGTGACAGCTTTCCATAGTCTTTGTCGCATTTCCTTATCAGCTCTTGGCTACGCACCGATTGTGCATCCCTTCTCCCTCGCTCATCACACGTCTGCCGGTGCTTGTTGTTGATGATGCTGCAATTTTCTCCGACGTCAGTGGAAAATTCTGGAACCATTTCCAGATTAAGTTAAATGGCATTCGATGACCAGTGACTTTCCAAACTGATCACGGCTCGTTTCTTCGCTAGTACTCTTCTTCACTATCAGTTCTTCACTATGGTAAACAGATATCAGAATCGCCAATATTCAAGCATAGGTAAATATAAAAAATGCAGCATTTTAATATTATTCTATCCATTCATTATCATGCATTTAATGAATTATTATGGGCAGGGCCGTTAAAAAAAAATTTAGCTTAATACCTTTTTAAAACACACTTGCTTAATTGTAACTTTCGAATCCTATTTGGTGCCACTGCCCTAACTATAGGAGGGACTATTATTAAATGCAACGTGTTGATCTTAACATTACCATTAGCAAACTTAACTTAACTTGCAGTATAAGAAAAACTGTGCAAGGCGTTTCATGGCTACATGCTCACATTTTCTTACCTCGCCTGTGAAAACAGTACACTGCCTTCCCACCTTTTTTGACGGCCAGTGTACAATCGCTAAACGCCGACCGAATGCGGCTGATAATCACAATAAATTAAGTTGTTGCTGTTGTTGTTGTTGGTACGTCATCATCATCATTCACATGCTATTGTCATGCATACGTATAAACATATATATGCTTGCATGTATGTAGGTATGTATTTACATGTATGAACAAGTCAGACAGCATACTTACGGTTACATATGTTTTCATACACGCGAGAGGTACGTACATACATACGTATGTATGCAGGAATGTTTGTATGTATGCACGTATGTAGCTTGTACCTGTACATATTTAAATATCGTTTCCCCCTGGACACCGCTGTCGACGGTGCTGATGCTGCTGCTGCCTATTACATTTCATTTTCATTCCATTTCTGGTTTTGGCTTTCGCTCTGCCAGCGTCGCTGCCTTTTTTCTGTTATTGCTCATTACAGACGAGATTACATATGTACATATGTCTGTAGATGTAGATGTCTACATATGTATGCTACATATGTACGTACAAATTTGCGAGAACGTCGCAGTCGCGTCGTCTGTTACCGTTTTTAGCTTTCATGGGGTAACATTAACATCCGTCGCACACTCCACCCGTCTCCACATAAACTCATACACACACACACACTGGCTGGCGCTGCTTCTGCCGCTGCCGCTGCCTATGTCGATGACTCTACGTTTTTCTGCCAGCCTGCTAATCGTTCCTGCTCGCCTGCTCCCTGCTTATGTTTATTTGTATATATCGAGCACACAAACGCACTCACGACGACTCATATGCAAAGCCCCCGACTCATCGCGTACATACAACGATACGACGATACTACAATACCATACCCTCCCGAGTAACCGTCACAGCCAGCATTTGAACATCTGTATGGCTCTCAAACATACATATTTATGCAGATGTGTAGTGTAGCTGTTAGCCCACAACATATGTTAGTAGGCAGAAGAGTAAGTATTAATGCAAGGAGCTGGAAACGTGGACAGGTTGAAGAGTGGCGAACCAGTGGAAGCGATGTATATTCGAAAAGGATATTATTCAGTTGATCTTATTCAATTCAGCAATAAAGAAAGAATTGTGTAGGTCTTGGAGAAACCATCTTCCATCCATTTGAATCCAGATATTAACTTTTTATAAATAATCGGAAATCTGAGCAATTTTTATGATAAAATCAAAAAATAATCTTTAAATATTCGAATTCCATGCACGACGATAGGATATCGATAGGTGGATCCCTAGTACTACATTGGTACAAGGGTGGCACTAGGTGGCTCAGTAGATAGGGACATGATTTATGTATGCAGGTGATTGGGATTAACTGAGATAATAGTCCCCCCATAGATAGTCACACTCTTATCTAATAATAGACAGGTATAACTGTGAAATATAATCCCTAATCACACTCAACTTTAGCTGAACACAAATTGTGTTGAGTGTCCACTTTCGGAGAAAAATTTCCCCGTTCGAGCTAGATCAAAATGGAAAAACTTAAATCAACGATAAAAGCTGACTTAATTTCTTCAAATCAGAGCGTCATATCCACTAGGAATATAAACTCATTTTGACACACGTAATACCTCAAAATGTAAGGCTTAAATGCATTCATGCAGTTGTTACTTGTGTCTTTTTCTGAATTCTGAATTATATTTCATACATATGTACAATTGTGTTCAATGAAATAGTAGTGCCGCACCTCACTACTTTCAAAACTCTTTTTGAGATAGTTCTAGTCTTTCAAATTGAACAAGTGATACCTTTACGGAAAGCCTGGAATGTAGGCATTGGATAACCGAAGAAACCCCGTTACATTTGCATTCCATCTTCTTGTTTTACATGACATAAGCCGAATACCCATAAAATATGCTGTTCAATGAAATAGTAGTGTTTTTTTAGATAATTAAAAAAAACAACGAAACTCAAATAAAAACATATATCTCATGTTCTTCATGTTTCTTGAGCTTTAATTTGTAGTTTTTTATCAATTTGGTTTTCATTGCGAACTTGCACCGGCCGGATATGGGTCATTAATCTCTTGCCAACGCTTCAATAGGATTTGAGCCAATAATCCATGAACCACTTGCTAAAACTAGGCTCTGGTTCACGGATTTGCAGTGTCAACAATGTATTTGGTATTCCAGCATAAGACTTCGATGAGATTTATATCTAGTTGGACAGTTGGCCTTGGAAAAACGTCGATCTTTTCCGATAAAAATCAATTCCTAGCGAGCTTTTCTGGGTATTTTAAGTCATTATCCTGTTAAAAGATCCTTTTAACATGAATTTTTCAACTGTAATTTGAATTTAATGTATTCTAAAGTATACCTACATACACAGTTTCGCTCAAAACCATACTATACTCAAACGCCAGGCTAGAAAGTACTACTACTACTTTTAAGTGGTAATTGAATTTCTGTGAATGCCAAACATATTCTTTTGAGTCTATCTTACCATATAATACAACTTTACTATCATCAGTCAAAAGTATTTTTGTCACTGTGACACAGGCCATTCCACATGCGTTTTTCCAAACTGAAGTCGTGCACCCATGTACTCTTAGACCCAAACGCGGAGCTTTCTGGAACTTCTTGCATTCAAATAATGTGTAATCAACCGTCTACAAACTGTCACATCACTGACAGATCGATTAAAAATTTTTTTCATAGTTTTTGAGGATATTCAAGGCCTGGTCTTGCCTTCGACCGCCGCCAACCATCCTCTAAAAAATAAATTTTTCGCATACAAAATCGATTTTCAGTTTACTTCTTTTAGTTAATTGGGTAAAATACAATAGTGAGAGTGCATACAACTTAATTTTCAATTCCAATATACCTCCTGCCTTAAGTTTTTAGTCTAACTCTTAAGTATCCTCTTCTGGACCGAGAAATGATTTCTTTAACGCTTCAAAATCAAAAGTACCGCTATGTCCAAAACTTTCTTTCATCAAATTATTCAATCACCAAATTGAGCTTACGGATGGTGACTTATTTAGATTAATTTGCTTTGTTTTTTCATTTTTAAAAATTAATTTAACCCAGCACTACTATTTCATTGAACAGAAGATATCATGGGTAGTTATCTAAAGTCATGAAAAACAAGAAGATGGAATGCAAATGTAACGGGGTTTCTTCGGTTATCCAATGCCTACATTCCAGGCTTTCCGTAAAGGTATCACTTGTTCAATTTGAAAGACTAGAACTATCTCAAAAAGAGTTTTGAAAGTAGTGAGGTGCGGCACTACTATTTCATTGAACACAACTGTACATATTTGGCAGTTATATATACATATATGTATGTATGTATTTTGTGCATTTCTCAGAGAGTACACCAGGCTGCACTCATGAGTTACTATAAGTGAGTGTGTTTAAACATACTTTAAATTAAGTAGCACATCACACTCCTAGCGCCACTTTTTGATCCAAGGGGCTGTCTATATATTACGTAATCACGTTTTCGATGATTTTTGACCTACTCCCCCTAGGTGATTAAAAAGTGAATGTCTACTATCTACTAAGTAGGTAGAAAATGTAGTGCGTACTTTATTATTATTATATTAGTACCAGCTGCGGACACTAAATCATCATTGCCGACTTTGAAGTTAAATTGGTTTATCTAAAGAAGTAAAACTGACCCCACAGAGACCGATCGTTAAAAAGCTACAGCTAAAGGTTATGAAAACTTTAAATGTCCCGGAAAAATGTTACAAAAAATAATATTGGGAAGAAAAAAGAAAAGTTGAGATGTGGGACGAGTCCATAGCGAGTCCATACAAAATAAGAACGAAAAAGAACAAAAGATTAAACGAAATGATTTGTATAAAAAATCAAACGAAATAAAATCACAGAAACTTGAATGAAGAATATTAATTGAAAAATGTTCGTCCGATCACTTCAATGTGAGTTCCTCAACAACTTTGGATCGTGGAACCCATCCTTACTCTCCACACGCACGGCTTCGAACAGACTCGATTGAATTGGAAAGGGGTCTCCACTCTCCGACGGCCGTGTCGGTACATTTCCAATGCTGTGGCCTGTGGCGCGACTTCATGGTACTGAACGATGCCGATAAGCCTGCGAAAATAATATGAATAATAATAAGAGACCGACAGTCAGTTATCGTACGACAGAAGCCTATGTACATATGTATGGGCATGATGCACCGCGGCAACAAATGCATCGGCGAGGCGGACTTCGCTTTAATCGGAAAGACTGGCTGCGTTTAGTGCACTCGGAGCGACGTACACGCGTACAATCTTCCACGCCCAAAAAGCGATGCTGGTCCAACTGCTGACCCTCGGCCTGGGGCTGCTGCTGGTTGCGGAAGAGCAGCTGCAGGTATTGGCCCTGACCATCACCAACGGGCACTGCCAGAAGAATATCAGCGTCAAGTACCAGGTGCCGGTGACCAGGACTCGAATGCCCGCCAACGCCAGCTCGGAGTCGCAAGCGGAGCAGTACGTGGTGTACGAGGAGCGGATACGCTGGGACAACGTGCAGGTGTGCTGCCCTGGGTATCGCACCATTTTGTTCGGCTTCTGCGAGCCCATCTGCCTCGAGGCCTGCCCAGCCCACAGCTACTGCGTGGAGCCGAACAAGTGCCACTGCATGCGCGGCTACGAGCACTCCCACCACCCGAACAAGCAGCACCAGCTCATCTGCCGCCCCATCTGCCAGGGCGGCTGTCCGGAGCACAGCCACTGCGTCTCCCACAACGAGTGCGAGTGCCGGGCCGGCTACAAGGACGTGAGCCGCTGGTTCAGCCTCAGCCTCATCTGCGAGCGTGTCCAATGCGGCCAGGAGCAGCGCTATGACCCCGCCCGCCACTCCTGTGTCAAAATCGAGATGAGCATGGAGGAGCTGATGCAGCGCGTGGCCGAGCGCCTGGCCCAGGGTCTGGAGTCGACCACCGAGCAAGACGGAGACGACAACAATGAGACTTAGTTAAGTAGAATCGAGTAACTTAGAAGCATGCAAACCTTAAAAAAGAAACCACAAAATGTGTTGGACTGATGATTGATTGCAATAAGAATATTGAATTAAACCCTAAACAATAATGAACAGCATTAGTTCCGCATGGAGTAAATCTTCTACAACTTCTTCTACTTTGGATACGTTTTTATGGCGATTCCGAGATTGTATTCTTCAACACAATAGTTTTATTTCTCAGTGTAACCGACAAACAGATTAATTATGAAAATTTATAATAAAGTGCAGATTAGGCTGGGCCAAAATTTGATCACAAATTTTTTTTTTCAGGCGGACACCTTGTTTTTTTCTAGCTTAAAATTTCTTATAAAGTTCGGTAGCAACCTCTAAAACATTTTTCTAAATACAAATAAACACTTTAATATTACTATCAAAGCCAAGAGAACAAAGTTAAGGGGTGTCCCGTTAAAAATTAAAAAAAAAAAATGGCTCAACCTAGTGCAGATACAATTTGGTTTATTTATCGTTCCTGATTTGAGAGAAGGGAGAATTAAAAACGACTTTGGCTTCGGAACTGTTGTTTCCTTCTCCGGTCTGCACCTTGCTTTGAATTGGTATTCCCCCTGTTTATTGGAGCCTTATCCCTCCATTGAGTGATGGCCAAGGCGAGAGCTTTCATACATACATATCTATATAAATTTATTGTGGCACTTCAGACAATAAGCAATTCATTGCGTTTCAGTTGGTAAAACAAATTAGCATATACAAATTTAAAACTTAGGTACTAAATAGAAGATCGCTGGATCCAGTAGGCGGAAAACTAGTGCCTGGGAGAGCAGGCATACGAGGAGTGGTCCCAACTGCATTCTCCTGGAGCGCGGAGTTTGGTTAAGTATAATATCCAACAGTTAACATCAGCCTATATCCTATAATGTATATAATGTGGCACTCTATTGGCTTGCAAGTCCGTTAAATTCAATTTTACATTAAAGCTCAAGTTCCGCTCTTTCATAGCTCTCTATGTCTTTGTGTTGCTTTGGGTTCCTTTGGATTTGGATCGATGATGGTCTAGGCATAGAGTTTCTCGATCTCATCGGCATACATCTTGGCCACGACGTTGCGCTTGACCTTCAGTGTGGGTCCCAGCTCGCCGGTGGGAATGGAGAAGTCATGGGGTAGGATGCTGAATTTCTGGACCTTTTGGGCATTGGAGATGGAGACTTTGTTGGCTCGCTTGATGCCATCCTCGATGGACTTCCACACCTTGGGGCAGGGACCGGCCTTCAGGATGTCCGAGACGGTTTTGTGCTCCACTCCCAGCGACTTCACCCACACAGAGGACTCGTGGCTCAGCTCGTCCAAAGGTTCACCCGACTCCTTGTCCAGCTCGGTCTGCAGAAAACAAGGAATAAGTATAAGCAGCCATTGAGCAACATTCGTCATTCCATGAACCCACCTTAATAGTGACCAGAACTGTCAGATACTTGCGCTGCTCTCCCACCAGGAAGGCATTGGAGATGCCGTCGAGCTCCTTCTTGATCATGTTCTCGATGTGAACGGGCGGAATGTTCTCGCCGCCAGCCGTGATGATGATCTCCTTGGAGCGGCCAGTTAAGCTGACGTAGCCCCTGTCATCGACGAAGCCCAAATCTCCGGAGTGCAGCCAGCAGTCATCGTCCAGCGACTCCTCCGTTTTCTCCTTGTTGTCAATGTATCCCATGAACACGTGGCGTCCTCGGATGCACAGCTCGCCATGGCCATTGTTGTCCTTGTTGATGAACTTCGACTCGCAGCCGGGCAGGGTCTTGCCAATGGAGTTCAGCGAGAGCGAGTCGGGCAGGCAAATGGTGTGGCAGCCGGCTGTCTCCGACATGCCAAAGGCATCAAGGATCTTCAGGTCCAGGCTGAGGAAGTACTTCTTCGTCTCCGGCGACATGGGGGCCGCGGCACTGACCAGGGTAAGCACCCGATCGAAGCCCAGGGCCTGCTTCACCTTCGACATAATGAGCGACTTGGCAATCTTGTAGCGGAAGCCTCCGGAGCTCTTGCTGCAAGAACGTTGGACAAAACTTTAATTAGAATTGTTTGCTGATGAGTTTTTCGAGGCTGCCACCAATACAAAAGGGAGTTGGCTGAGAGGGGGCGGTGGGGTCGGTGGGGTCGGGTAGGGTCTCGGTCTCTATGCCGCAAAGCTTTTTAATATTTAATAGAAGCGTGCAGCTCCTTGCAGTTAGAAGTTATCAGGGGCAGCTATATTTAAGCCATTGCTCCCAAATCGGAATGTAGCCCTCCATTCACGTGGTGGGTGCTCTTAAAGTGCCTGATGGGTTTCCTAATGCTTCAATCACTGCCCAAGTATTTTCAGGTGGGAGCTTCTCACGATGGCCCAAATATCTGCTGGTAGCTGGCGACTGGTGACTCCCCGCTCTGTCCCCGCTTTCGAGGACGTGCCCGCATGGCATGTGCTGGCGAATGCCAGTAGCAGCAGGAGGGAGCCGTGCCCGCGTGTTGCACGAGACGTATGAGTAATGTTGTTGTCAGTGATTCTCGCTTAAACCAGAGCACGGCACAGAGCGCGTTGGCGCTCCTCGGCTTGCATAATTTAGCAGGACCGAAACACGTCTTCCAGGGACTCTGCTCCCCGGCTCCTCGGCTCTTGAGCTGGCTGGCCAGGAGGCTGGGCTAGGCTGGGGCATAAAAAATGCAGGCATGGAATGGAATGGAGTGGAATGGAGTATATAGTAAGTGGAGGATGGGAAAGGCGCTGCAGCCACTTTAACTGTGCATCCTTTTTGCATAATTTATGCGCACACAAAGCTGAAGTTGAAGTATTTGGTGGCCGCCGTTTCATCCGGTTTGGGGAATACTTACCCTTGACTCACCATGTAGTGCTTCAGAGTGATGCCCTTGGCCCAGCCGGCGATCATCTTCTTGAAGCTACCGCTGGAGCTGGCCACGGCCACCATGCGCTCCTGGAACTTCTCGAACACGCGCGGCACGCCCATAAAGCGCGTGGGCCGTGCATCCTGCAGCGTCCTTACCAGGGTGCCCTTCAGCGCGTCCTTGTCCGCGAACCAAATGCAGCCGGCGATCGTGGCGCACGTGTAGATGTCCACCGTCTGGGCGGCCACGTGGGAGAGGGGCAGATAGGAGACAAGCGACTCCGAGCCGGCCACAACGCGCTCCATCGACTTGACGATGCCCCGGGCGTCGAAGCTGATGTTGTCGTGGGATAGCATCACGCCCTTGGGCATGCCGACGGTGCCAGAGGTGTAGACCAGGCAGCAGCACTCGTTGATTGCGATGTTCTCTAGACGGGTCTTGTACTGCTCCTCCACATCGCTGACGTTCATCAACTCGATTTCCGACCACTGGGAGGAAAGGAGACAAGAGCCATTAAATTATTGCATTTAGCTATGGAAATTGAATATGAAAAGGGAATGAAGTAGCCCACTCACCCGGTAGTAGCCGTCCTCCTTCTTGAGGTACGGCGCATATGGCTCCTGGATCTGTATGGCGGCCTTGAGGTGGGGCAACTTGTCGCGGATGGAGTGAATCTTGTCCATCTGCTTGGCATCGTCAACGACTACGATCTGGGCCTTGGAGTTCTCCAGCACGTGGAGCACAGCGTCGGCTGAGTTGGTGGTGTAGATGCCGGCGATGATGCCGCGGGCATGGATGGCGCCCATCGCCGAGTAGAACCACTCGGCGCAGTTGAAGGCCAGCACTCCCACCGAGTGGTGCTCCTCCAGGCCAATTTTAATGAATGCCTTGGCCACCTGGTGCACCTTCTCCTCATACTGTCTGCGGGCGGGCGGGCGGTAGGGTAATGCAATTAGCGGCGATAAGTAAATTGCAAAAATTCGAAATCGGATTAGCCAGCGTCCTCCGTACTCACTTGTAGGTGACTGTCTGATAGCCAGTCTTTCCGCTCTTGGTGCGCAGGGCGGGGTAGTCGGGGAAATTGTTGACCGTACGCTTGAGCAGGCCCGGAATCGAGATGGGCTCCTCGGCGCCCATTCCCTCCTTCTGCATGCGTATCTTCACGGCATCCTTGGGATTGGTGGTGCGGTAGACCTCCGACTGCCTCAGGCGATTGGGGCCGGGACGATTGAAGAGCGCTTCGTTGGCGGACATGACGTTGGCGGTCTGAAATCGAGTTTGAGGCAAGCAAAGGCGAGATTAGTTTTTCACTTTCACCTGCGCGGCTAATTTGGTTTTAGGCAAATTGACTTGCGCGGAATATGCCAGACGTCTGCAAATGGAAATGGCACTGGAGCGGTGGCTCTAGAAATCATACGATCTATGACTAAAGTACGAGTACATACATAGGTTTTTTTGCCTTTTCTTTCATCCCCGATAAGACCACCACTCGAGCTGGTCTGTGGGCTGGTCTATGTCAAGGCTTCCTCTTATCATTCGCGTGAATAATATGACTTAACACCTGATTATGGCTGGGTATCAAAACTTGAACGTGTCATGTACCTATTTGAATGTTGCAACTTGTATTGTAGGTTTGACTAGGAACTACTCCTCGAGGACACAAAATATCAAAGGCTTCAATCTCACAAAATGTCGATTATCTTGCTAAAAGTTATCAAATCGGAATATTATGTATGCTAGCACGAAGGCGTTGGCCTCGACAGTGGCAAGTTCTTTTCAATGGGTTTTATTTGCCCCGGTACAAAGGCCAATGCTCGTAATTGGCGGTATCTGCAAAACATACCAAAACCCATCTACAGACACATTTGCAGGTTTTTGTTATTCCTTTATTAATCAATAAATGTTGGCCAGTTACCGATGCGTACGGAGAACTAAGGGCAGATAAGACCCAAAATAAATAACAAGCTAATGAAGAAGTCAAAGTCAGTGAAGAATGAAAGTGCTAAAACAGCTGACTTAGCAATCAGGAGGAGAGTCCAAAGGGTCATATGAATTTCCGAACACTGAAAAACCCCATTATTATTGGCGCTATTTTATTCCGAGTTCCGCCTGCGATTACTTAAGATTGATTGGCGGGCTTCGAAATAGACATTCCACACGGTAAATGATTGGCAGTTAAATTTGTTGCAAGTTAAATGCCCCAAAGGCACTGTACTATCAGGTTAATGGAAGTGTCTTCTGTTTTTTTTTTTTTTTTTTACACCGGTTTAGGTACTCCCTGATATTTTGGTAGTTGACTCGCAAATCATAAAAACGGCTTCTGATAATGTTTGAACAGTAATGAAAGTGGCACGCGGCCAGGGCATGTTTGTTTATACAAATATATTCTATAGAACATTTTGAGCCAAAGCTGAGTGGTACGAGAAACTACAGAAACTGTAGGAGCCCCTATGTAGGGGAAACCGGCTTTCCGATAAGAGAACGTCAAAACCTTTGTCGCCAGGCGATTGTTTTGCGAAAATGTTTGAGCCTCATGCTTAATTACGCATTTGTGATTTGAGAATGTTCTCCGCAGTTTTTCGCGGGAGAGGAGAGCGACAAATGTAAGAGAGCAAGAAACTGCGTGTGAAAACAAAACTGATAATAGGCCAGCATCTAAAAATATTTGGCAACTATTCCGCTCCTCGTTTCCCACCACCAATGACAGCGCACAACCCGAAGACATTCCGAAAGTGTGCAGCGGGAATGAGAGGTAGCCGCAAACAGCAACAACAAGAAGATCTGGCAGCGAGAGTACACACAACAACAAAAACATTCTATGAACGTTGTGATGCGTAGAATACCCTCTACTGAGATGTGCATACAAATGTACATACCCGTATATGTATAGGTAAATGGAAACTGATAGATGTGAGAGGTAAATAGTGGCAATTGATTTACCGATAGGAATAATCTAAGAGATATCAACAAATGGTAACGGCAGCTTTTAGTCGGCAAATAATTAAATATACCCTTGAACCCTAAGAATACAGGGTATCAGAAACTAAGAAACCAAAGAAATCGTTCAGCGCCGATGTAAAAGAGGCTCGATCGAAGCAGAAATAAAGTGTGAGCGAATTGGGGAATGGTGGAGGGGCGATATCGGAGAGCGATCTTCTTCGTGGTGACAATGAACTCTCGCCAGCAGTGCACTGACCCACTAAACAGAATTGGACGAAAGCAATGTTGGCAAGGCTAGTAATGGCGGAACCACCAGCAACAAACACCTCGGATCTCTCGCACGTGTTACGAGGAAGTCACGCACTCAAATTCAATATTTCCATTGTCTTGGATCTTCGCTTTGGAGTTGGTAAACTTACATAATTCACTTTTGTGGTTTCTCGAAGTTTATTGTATTAATTGTTTCGGAATTCTTAAAGCACGCAAAAACGCTATCGACGATTCTCCTCTCTCACTCGTTATTGAGACGCGACAGACAGCACACACGACCGCAGACAGCGAGGGCAAAGCGAGCAATGAACGCCGTTCAGGATCGGATGCTATAGAAAAGTTGCCGCTTCTAGTTCAACGTCGACATCGACGTCGACGCCAGCGTTAGAGAGTCAATGTCGATGTCGATGTCGATATGGGGACTGCTACCGCTACCTGCTAGTGCTGGGGCGCTCTTATCAGCCGCAATTGGATCCCCGCGCTCGCTCGCACCCATGCGTCGGGTCGGATTAGAACCTAAGCGATGATGTTACGCACGCTCCGCTACAACACAACACAATATTTGCTCTTTGCTTGACACTGGAATATGGAATACTGTATGTATGGGCTGTTATCAGTGGCAGGCGTGGAGGGGATCGGGACCGGCATTATTTGTGGCGTGCCTCTATTGGGTCGAACGTCCTGAAACGGATGCGGGACTGCAGTAGGGAAAGTGGCAGTAAAAGGTATTATCGCATTAATACAATGGACGGGGAATACCAGTATAGGTTTTGATGTATTGTATGGATCAAATGCGATAGATATTTATTTCTGTTTGCTATATAATATATATGGAAATTAACGTTATATATTTACATATGTACATATGTATGTACCTCCAGATTTTCTGAAGAGAATCTTAAAAAATTTGAAGTGGAACCGGCTAATAGTTTAGGGCAACGTTTCAAGACATTTCTTATAAATAGTTCTGATTAGGTTTTGAGATATGGCGTTAAAAGAGATTAACCAGTACTCCTTGAGAGATTAATGTTGCTTTCAAATGAACTCTTCATGGTGCTGTCTATGGAGTGCATAGGACCGACACAAAAATCTGAATAAATATTTATCTCTGGACATATTCTATATCCAGATAAATTTAATCTGATTTGACTCTGAATCATTAGAAAAGTTTGTTTATTAATATTGAAACGAGTATACAGATAACGTCTCAAACTTTAGGTACATAGTGAGTGCTAATATATACACACACACATCTATGCTATAATATATGTATATAAATGTAGACATATGTATGTACATATAAAGCGTTTCGATTGTTACTCACAACTATGACCTTGAGACAATCTTTATATATAGGGATGCCCCGACGACCTTATAGTAAACTATATAATCAACTAAAGCAAATGCTGATTAGTTCTTACCGTTGTGACCATTTTTAATGTGTATATTTAATTACGCGGGATATGCAGGATTAACTCGGGATCCTTTGGAGGATTACTATTTAAAGGTTCACAGCTAAACAAAATATGTAGTCCAATTGGGTATCCAGAAAAATGACGTCTGATTAAATATTCGCCCAAGCGCAGCGTTTTAAGTGAACTAAAAAAAAGATTACTTTACCGGGAATTACAAATCAATAAAATTAATAGATATTTATTTCTGGAATTTAATTAAATTAAAACAGCAAATAAGCAAAATATTTCAGGACACCTGGTGGTCGAACAGTAAGCAGAATTTTGATGAACAACGAAATGATAATAGCCAAATGATTCACAAATAATATTAATAGATTATGGAAATATTTTGGGGATTGATAAACGCTTTTATCGCTTTAAAGGAGAAAAATACGAGGGCTATTCTCCAATCGATTTTCACTGTTGCCAATCGTTTATTTTTTATTTTTCCTATGGATAGCTTTTTTGTGGTAATTCGTCGCTTATCTAAGTACACAAGTTGGCAACATTTTACGATCTGATAAGCATCGAACACTTGACCACAGGGCCAATAAAAATGCTTACTGTATATAATGCGGCAATTCCTTTTCAAATTTATGCCATAGGTGTTACGGGCACAGTTCCGCCTGTCCAATAGGTTCAACTTCGATTCAAGAATGGGTTCCGCCCCGTCATGGAAATCAATGATTATCCCACTCGACTGGGCGTAGCGTATCTTCAAAGGTCCGATTAGATAAGATAGCCCATGTTTCGAATAAATCACAATTTGCCTTGATCTCTGCGATTAAAATGTCAGCTATAGGTAATCCCATTATCTACAAAAAAATCAATTCGTGTTAATCACAAAATGCAGCTCCAAATAATTCGTATAAGCCTATTCGATTACTCGGAGCGCACGCCCAAGGATTATCTGAAAAATTGACTGTTGAGTGCAGCCTTATCTATGAACATGCTCACGCAATGTGCCGTAATTGGTTGGGCGATAGTAATTATGAATTATTTTTAAAACATTCCCAAAGCGAACGATGGATTCCCATTATTCAATGATTCCAAATTATTTGGTGATGTTTTTTTTTCTCTTATCAGCCAGCTAAAGCGTGTCCATTGATTCCCGTGGTACCCGAGATCAGGCTTTCACCTACTGGTCAACCTACTTTTAGATTCCATTCCCCATCGAGCAGTATTCGCATCCCCTGGTGATTTATAAGTATGCAACGAGAGATAAGTGGAAATACAATTTGACAACCTGCATTTTACTAGTCGACAATAGAAACCCAATAGGTTCAAAGGAACACAAAAGAAATCTCTAAGATAAAAGAAATCTATGGGTTAGCTAAATCTTTTAAGATATTAAATTTCTGTTTGCCTACATACAAAGACGAATACATTTCAAACAGACTGTGAAAGCTTTTCACAAACTCCGAAGTTTTCAACCACGTAAAACCAAAAGCTTTTGCTACTGTAGAAGTTGCTCAACATGTTGTCGACGGCAGTCAGCTGTTTCACAAAATCAGATATAGGTGTCGTGCATGTAAAATTAATGTTGAGTGGTGTAGTTAAACGTGGCAGAATTAATTCAATTTTAGAATTTTAACGTTTATTTATCGGATAAAATTATATAAAATGTTACTCACCGGTTTCTGAGAAACACAAGAATTTAACATCAAATCAGTTTGTTTTAATTTCAATATTTTGGGATCATATCAATCCAAAATACTGTATTACTGTTTCAGATGTTTCAATATTTCTGACAGAAACTAAATCTCCCTCTATAGAGAAATTGAGAAATCAAAAATGCTTTCATTTTCTATATGTGTGCAGCGCAGAGAAGGACCCCATAATTATATATATTCCTTATCAGCATCAATAGCCGAGTCGTTATAGCCATGTCCGTCTGTCCGTCCGTCCGTCTTGTTGAGCGCCACAAGTGTATTTCAAAATTTCGCCCCGCCCCTTCCGCCCCAAAAAAGGACGAAAATCTGTGGCAGGCACAATTTTAAAGATACGATAGAACTAACGCATTAACTAACTACCGATGCGAATTTAAAAATAACTAATAAAAATTACGCCGTAGAGACCCCTTAGCACTAAAATGTAGTTCCAAGCAAGCAAATGCAATTCGCTTGCAAATGTTTTTCATATCATCAGCAGACAGGAATCGAACATAAAGCGAGCATCTATCATTGAATTGTCTGTTGGATTTTATTCGCCTTTATATGACACCATTACCCGGCTAGGATGCTCTGATTTCGATGCCATGTTAATGAGATTGTCATCATCCTTTGATGGCATCGAATTACGTTCGCCTGAGCTGCACAAAGTTCCACTTATTTACCTCCACCGACCGACCGACCGACCGACCCCCCGCTAAACGCATGCAAATGATGTGATAATAATGTCGGTTGGAGAATGGGGAAAGTACATACATACATATATGTAGGTATGTACGCATACTTGTATACTCGTATCATCCACCGGTAAGTATAAAAATAAACGCTTAAACCCATTTAAACTGGAGGTAAGCAAAGCAGTAACGTGTCCTGGCATTCCAACAAGTCTCTCTGGATCGGGGGGCAAGGATAACAAGTGTTTGGCTAATTAGCTCAGTTTAATTGTGCGAGACAAACACAAAGAGACACTCGCCAGGAAAGCCAGACGAATGAAAACGAGCTGCATTTAATTGACATGTCACGCCCCAAAAAAAAACAGACAAAGGATCTCAAAAGAAATTCGAAAAGAATGAACCAGTGCGAATAGTTAGCTAGAGACCGCAGTAATTGTGCTGATAATGGCAACTGAAATGGAAATACTAATGACCTTGGCGTGGTTGGAATTAAGAGTGCATACGTAAATATTGTGCACATTTCAGCAACTTTTACATATATTTTGTACATTTTGACAGCTAAGGATATTTCTTTAAAATAAAACTACAGTATATTTCTATTCTGGTCAATCAAATTTATTTATCCCTCAATACATAATTTAACAATCGCTAAAATTGTATTATTAATAGTACTATAATAATTAAATTTATATTGAAGATATGTACATAGGCTTACCCATATATGTACAATGTACATACATACATATTTATGTATACAGGTTAAGTTCCTAAAAATAAATAATTAAAATGTCATTAATTTATTGATGAAAACTGATATGATGGCTCAATTACATTACAATAATTAATTAATTAATCAGATTGTTCATTTTATAAAATATTAAGTTAATAAATCCATTAAAAAATTATTTAAAATTCTGTACTTTGAGTTCCAGACTAAAAACCATCAATCGAAAGAATTCGTACATAGACATACAAATATTCCTACTGTTTCTGATATTTTAAACTAAATAATAATCATATATGCATACATATTATGCCTATACCTACACATTTATTTATTGTTAAGCATTATATTTTTAGCCGAACGAGCAGAGTTCCTCTGTCTTTCTCTTTTTGCCTTTCTCGCACATTCACAATATCTCTTTGGGAGCATTTTCTTGGCGGCAGTCAACCGGTTCTATGGTGTAATGGTTAGCACTTTGGACTCTGAATCCAGCGATCCGAGTTCAAATCTCGGTAGAACCTGATGTTTATCACAATTTTTTTGCATACTTTTTTTGTGTTTTGTTTTCCATTTTCTGCTCTCTTGAAGGTTTGTCTCACTCTCACTGAAAAATTCTCTAGCGGAATTATGTCTGTAGTTTTGATTAAAAAGGTTGAAGCTCTTCTAATGCCAAAAGGGCAGTTTGTGTTATCCTTTTGTATTATATTTCCAATCAGATAGCCCTTGGCTACGGATTGCTACTCTTATTGTTGTGTTTCTCTTTCAATTTTCCAGCACGGCTTGGCTTTCATTCTTTGCACAATCCAACATACAAACACAGATAGACAGACAGACAGACGGACAGCTGAATTTGCATATGTATGAGGAGGGGAGTCTGTATTTCAGTTTCAGCTAGCAGTTTCAGTTATTTCCTACAACTTTAACTGCAGCAAATAGTTTTGGGTCTCCAATAAAACGGCGGCATTGGCCATAAAAAGTGGCAACTCATTTCGCGCTGAAAGATACGAAATGCACCAAAGCCAAACAATTGGAAATTCTGTGCTTTTTCATTATCCACTTTGGCTGCAAACTTTGCCCCGCAACATTGTTTTGATTAATTCGTCAGCTTAAAGTTTTGTTCAAACATCAGAGGCATCTCTGGGGCACACACAGACGAAAAGTGGCTGCGAGCGAATCTATCTGCCAGATACAAGCAGACAGACTGGGCGAACACTCGACTACGGCCGACACTAAGCTGACCATTATGAGTGTTTAACCAGCAGCAAGTCGCCAGTAAGCCAACCAAATGAGTGCGTATCTGTGGGATGCAGTTGAGAGATTTGGATAGCTTGGGGCGATTAATGTGCACGAGGAACTTTGTCTTCGTGGTAGACTGAAACCCAATGGATGGAGGTGCTTGATCGATTCACGTATAGAGTTGATATATGTTTAGAAATATATAGAAAAACTCGTAACTCTTTAATAATGGATTCCACATTCTAATCCATGTACAGCTTGGCACACAATTAATGCCCACCTTAAGCTCCTTCCAAAAATCAATTGAACCTTTTATCATTTCTACCCCTAAATCGACCTTTGGCCTAGGCTCCATCAAAACAGAACCCCGACAAGGAATCAAGGCATCGTCGAGCAATATGAATGGACGGACGGACGCTCTGCTCTCGTGAAGAGCTAATAATAGAACAGGCGACGCAATTCCGAAACGGGCTGCTGTAATCAATAATCGATATTTGACAAATTGAGCAGCAATTGCAACATGCCTGGCTTTAATTTCAGTCCTCGAGTGTCGCAACGTCAGAAGCTAATTAATTGGATTTGTTAAACTTGAGAAGTGGCCCCTCGGACACCCTGTCCGTCCGGCTGCGTGAACAGCCACTTCACTTGACCAGCAGCCATCACTGCTCGCCGCATGACCCCTCCAGCCATGGGTTGAAATCTTGTCAAATTTCAATAATTTAGCACTAGAACTGTCCCAGACAGACAGTAGCTGTCAACGATAAGCCAGACGACAAGCAACAAAGACGAACATTTCCCAACAAATTTTCTTAACCCCTTGGCCGGGCCACAACAACTGAACCGAACTTGTTCTGCCAGATATCGTTGCTCCGGGAGGGGAAGGGAGGGGGCTCGGTGGATGCTAGGTGGAAAACTGTTGGAGTAAAACTAAACGAGATTCGTCTCGTGGCGTTTATTTAATGCGCTCCGTTGGTTTGCTCCCATAAAAATTCCCCCGAAAAATGTTGTTGATTGCACTTAATGTGGCGGCGAGGTGGGACTGTTATGGCCCTCCTCCTTCTCAGGAAGATTATGCAATGAAAACGAACATTCGCGGTTCACATTAAAGCCAGGATAGGTCCAGCATCCCATGGATTATTAAATTTAATCGCTAATGTCTCAGCGCGACAGTTGCACATAATGTTCGAACGGATTTACGAGTATGGCATGGCTAATCGAGGGGGAATGCTTATGAGGTTTATGAGGGCTCCAATGATAAATTCTCTTAGCACAAAATGGAGTGAGACGGACCAGACTCCAAGCCGGGAACTTCGTTTTCCTAGGACAAGGTTGGACCTGTTACAGTTGCTTGGATTGCACATAAGCATATCCTGTTCGATTTAAGACACGAACCATTTTGGGTCTTTAAGCTACAAAATTTAAGAAGTTGTACTGCAGAGAGTCCATCGACGACAATCCATCCATTCAACAATTAAACATTTTTAATGATAAATGTATAAAGCAAATATGGAAACCGAACGAAAAATAAAGCAACACTAGCATTGCCTGGTCTTCCTTTAATATGTTTATTTTAAAACACAAAAATGAACATATTCATGTTGCGCTTAGCAGTACAGGAATAAATAAATCACACTTTTGCGAAAGTCGGAGCGCCTTGAAATAAAAAGTATGACTTTTGGCTGAAAACGTAAAGCGCAAAAGTAAGTGATAGCCGGCCTAGGGATGCATGGCTAAGAGGAATCCTGTTTCGGATCGCAGCGGCTAGCTTGCGACTTTGGTTCACTGCTTCTTCAACTAAGCAAATCATTCTCACATACTTCGCACTTAGCTCTAAGGTCCATTAGCTGGATGCTCACACCCGTGACAATAATGCAGATAGCTGCCCTTATGGAACTGAACATCTGACGGGCTGCGTTTCTACCTGGGTTCTTGCGTAGGTGGCCTCGGTTTTGTGTCGCTTGGGGTTCATGGAACCGACTCAGGCCAGCCCGTAAATAATACAGTCCACTTGAAGGAGGCCTCTTGGGAATAAGGAAACATAGAGATATGATCGGTTCGACCATAAAATCATATATGTATGTGTACATACAAGCATACAAGCCCAAATCTATTAACTCATGTGGTATACCCTGCATGGGTTGGTGTCATTAAGAGGGATGAGCATGGGAACAGTTCGAATTTGCACCTCAACTCCGCAACTGGCCTTGGGCCTTAATGGTGCAGTTAGTGTATATCAACGTCCCAAAAGATAAAGGAAGGAAGAACGGGAAGGATAACTAGATTAACAATTTAAGTTGCCTGTAGTTCTGGGAGATATTTCGATACAGCGTAAACTTAAAGTCATCATGATAGAAGGCGCGACTTATAATTTAAATAATGGTACAGACATTTAGTTCAGACTACGGATGCTAGAGAGACATCA